ATTAGTGTCATTTAGAGCCACCCACACTCTAAAAAAAAAAAAAAAAAAAAAGGATAATTAACCACACCTCACACCTACTCAATTCTTTTCCTTCTGGGGAACACTCAAGACACTGATTTATAACAGGTTTCTGCTCAAGACCTGTCACCTCTGAAACAGCACCAATTTGGTATCAAGTAAACGCTAAAGCATTGTAAAATTTTACATCTGTTCCATTTTCTTTGTTTTAAGCTATAAAATAATAAAAAACTCAAACCCCAGGAAATGCCTCAAAAGGGAATGAGGCAGGGTTGCACGATCTTTACCGTACTCTCAGGCAGGGCAACTTAGGGCACCTTATTCCCCAGTGGAACTAAGGGAAGCCTTTTACTACTCTGTTTTGTTAGCCATTAACAAACCTTATTGAGAAAAGTCACTTAACCAATTTAAATGTTTTGCTTTGCTTCACTCAATCACCAGACTTCATTAGCTTAAAGAGTTTCAACATACCACACTGCTATCCAGCAACAGAATCTTTTCTAAAAGGCTGTCACCAAAGACAGTAGAAAAAACCACAATAAGCAACACAAGTCAATCTTTATTGAAAACTGAAGTATTAATACATAACAATTCTTGTTACAATAAACGTGCTTTTAAGAATTTAAATCTGAGCTCATCTACTCATTGAATTGCATAAAAAATAAAAAAGTATGAATTTTCACAATTGAACTGGCTCAGAATGGAATCTCCACTCTTTGTGTTGATGCAATAGTTCAATGCAGGAGTGAGTGATACCTTAAAACTTATTCTGGAAGACAACATTGACCTAAACTTAAAAAAAGTACCAATACAACTGTTCGTAAGACAGTTTTAAAAAAAGTCATAAAAAGGAAACCTGTGTCTATTTCATAACAAACATGGAGAACTATTACTGGGGCCTCTTGTACTTCCATTGCATGCACTCACTTTTTCAAATCTTAGACATGAGGGCAGCCAATAATAGCATTACAATAAAAAAAAAAACCACTAACAAATCCATTCTACTTAAAACAAATCTGTACAGCAGCCAGCTAAAAAAGCTTTCCCAGTTTGCCTGCTAAGTGCCCAAGTCACAACAGTTTAGAAAAGTCATGTTCACTTTCTTGATGTTGAAACTTCAGAGCCCATAAATTGTTTAGAATGTTTTTTAAAATCACAAATGGACCCTTACTACCTGTGGAATTCAGATGTTTCAGTGTTATATTCAACCCACACAAGAAAAGGTTTCCTTGTCCCCAGATAAGCACTGTTCCTCTTCCCCCTTCTGTCTACAAAACACACCTTAGTTTCTCTCAACACCCCCCCAAAAAGAGGTGTATGCAGCCTGCTGAAAGAGTCCTCACTACTTCAGACATCTCAGAATGAACCTGATTCTTGGCAAGGCTCAATTCTCAAAACTATCCTAACTTTGCTGCAGTTGTTCCTGTTAATTGGCATTCTGCCTCATCAAATCTGAGGGTCTCTGCAGGAAGCTAAGAGTTCATAAAATACAGGATTAGAAAGCTGACACTTATTAATGAGAACGATCTGAATGAGCTTAAATCCTTATGTCTTTTGAACAGGTGTTCACAAACACTTCGACATGAGGATTAATGGATCACTGTTGACCCTCCACACATGCTGAGGTCGGCCACTGACACCTGCTGGAGAAGGCTGGGTACATACGGATCATGCCCGTTTCCTACCGACCACTGCACAAACCACACGCTGGGCAACTGCAAATTGCCATTCAACAACCACAGCATCTGTCCTCTTTCCCACAAGCTCCAGCTGAAGCATCACTATTGTTCATGTTCCTAAGATACGGGAGGTTTCACATACATGGTATTTACTACTCTCTGGTATGAGTTTAAGCCTAGATTTAAGTGGTGGTATCGGATCACTGTGCTTACTATTCAAGCAAAAAGTATGTTCTAAACCCAAATGAATGGAGTATAATACTGTGCTTAAGCACTGGGGAGTAATTCCAAGTCAATTCTGACCATCCCTTCCTCAGATACCTTAAGTGGCCTTACTACCCAAGAGCAGTGAAGCCAGAATGCTCCATGAAGTGTAGTCAATGTTGAGTACCCTGGTATACAACTCTGTACCATGAACTATTCTCAGACAACACTAAGACACTTACAGGTGGTGGTGGTGGTTTCATTTTCTTTCAGTGGATGAAGCAATAAAAGGAAGGACAACTAAAATAAAGGATTTTTTTTTCATCTACCACTGCATCTAAGCATTTAACTTGCATAGTACACTCAAAAAAGAAGCTTTCTTGAACAGCAGTCCTGCACGTCTCCTAGAAACTTCAAACAGGAGATGGTTACAACAAGCATAAGCAAGATCTAGTAGTAGCTTCTTTGCTTTCCTTCCTAGTGTTTCATTAACAACCACCACGCCACTGACTAGGGCTACACGGTTTTGGTGCCGATTATTACCAATTTTTCTTTTGCTGCTGCTACATTTAAAAGACATTTGTATCAGTTGTTACTGACATAGGGAATACCTCAGCTTTTAAAAAATACTTTATCTAAACTCAACACCTGAAATTTGAATTAAAAAAAAATTTCTTTCTTGGACTTCTCTTTGTTATTGCTGCAACAGTTATTTTCAGTTCCAGGTTTAAAGTAGTACTTTTTTTTTTAATCATAAAAACCTGCCATAAAAGTTTTTTATTTGGTTTTTTTTTGGGTTTTTTTTCTTTTTTTTTTTTTAAAGAGAAGCTTGATCTGAAATGTCTCTACTGCACTAGCTCTTTTCATTTGCTGAGGAGCTCTAGTGCAAACACATACTGCGTATTTATTTATAAAGGAATTCTAAATAGGGAATGTTATATAAAAAGCAGGAGAGAATGTTTTATAAGACCCTCACTGTGTAAACGCCTGTTTAATGATGTACAGTTTCCCCCGCCGCAGTTTTATATCCATGCTTTCTACTATTTGCAACAAAATACCATTAAAGATAGTTATATATACATGTATTCCCCCCGTCCCCCTGCACTGTGCTTTTGGTTACTTTCCATATCAACTACTGGAGACATGCTCCACCCTCCCAGCAGATTACGATCTATCAAAACTGGAAGGTGTAAGTACCTTTTTTAAAAGGTACAGTTTCCCCCTCGTGGATGAATCCCATAATGCAACTTAGAAAAAAAAGTGCTCAAGTGAGACTGCCTAAATGTTATGGAATATTATACAGAGACCAATTCCAAGATGCCATTTAGGAATCTGAAGTTAGAGCAAATATATAGGAAGTTATATTAATTCCTTAATTATTTACCTATTGCAGCATTCATGAAAGTTCTCTCCTATGATTTTCAAAGCTTTAGTTTATCAGGTGATGAGACAGGAGACAGCAAAGCTTTGAGCTTGTTCTTTATAGCTTCTCCCCAATATAGCACTGTTTCATACCTCAGCTCTTTGTTAAAATCATGCTAAGACAACAAAATGTCACTCTCTACTAGCTAAAATGGACAAATGGCTTATATTAATGTTCACTGTACTCTCTGGCACACCTGACTAATCAAAGCTGCAAATCTACTACACAAATGGAACTGTTAAACAGACTTAAACAAAGCAGTACAGTTTTAAACAATTTGTCTGGGGTAATATCCTGCTCCATATAAAAACATGGAAATCCCTAAGCTGCAGTAAGTGCTCATGAGTAGGTGTAAAGTACTTATGTTCAAGGCATTAGAAATAAGGGGGCCGTCCACTGACAGTGATTCATGCAAAATAAACCTGAACTTTATTAAACAAACAAACAAAAAAGGGAAGTAAAAAATATGGACAGTGCTTACTGTAAAAAATAAAGTTACTGAAGGCTCTAACCACCGACGGGTTATGAATGTACATAAGCCTCCCACCAGGGCAGAGTACTGGAATGGCAGCATTAAATCAGCACTGATGCTACCCTGAAGCAGCTGCCAAATCTGTATAGGAGCAGAACACCCCAAAACAAAGCATAACTAGATATACAACTTAAAAAAATTTACTTCTGAATGAAAGTTAACCTACAAGAACAATACAGCCTGATATACCTCTGTGTAAACACTTAAAAGGGAACAACATTTTATAACCATTTACTGCATAATTTATTGCAGGCAGAATGTATCCAAAAAAAGAAAATCGCATCTTTCTGGAATTGTAAGTCAAGCAGGTTTAAGAAAAACCTTGATTTTATGTGCAATATTCAAATTTAAAAATTTAAAATCTCCCCCGTAACAATTTTGGTATACAAATGGGTTCTAAGGCTAGCCCTTTATCCCCACAGCATTTGCTTTGAGGTACTTTTTAAAAATTGAAGTTGCAAGAAAGAATATCAGAAATGACTCATTGCAATGAAATGCTGATCTGCAGTCAGTCTTATTTTACGTGATTCCAAGTGCAATTTAGGAAGTAAAAAAAGAAAATACTAAGAAAACACATCAAAATGCTGTAACCAACAAATGGCTCCTACTTCAATTACAAATATTTTGGGGGGGAGGGGGGAGAACAGCTATTTGAAACCTCTATATTCTGGCAGTCCTACTACAGCATATCCATAGTCCATACTGCAAGTAGCTAATAAGGAAATCGTGTTAAAATTATTTGTTCCCCTTTAACATACTCATCAGGCACACAAGCTTTCCTCAGAATAACATGCAGCTGAATGCCTCCTGTTTGTTGTAGAAAGCCCTAGCATTTCTTAAGTTTCAGGAAAGCAAGCTGGGTCAACTGCACATACATTTTCAACTGACTACAACATTCTTTAGGAAAAACAGCACGGACTTCCTGAACTGAGAACTAAAAGAAAGTGTTTTTCTATCAGTCTGTGTGGCAGTCTCACTTTGACACATCTTGCATCATATGAAAGATAGTACTAGATATATATCTCCCCAGGACATGCAATTCATTATGCAGGTGATGTCACCTCCTACTATTCCTAAGAGCCAGTTTTGCCTCAAGGAAGTTTGCTTTATTTACTGGCACACACAGCATTACCTTTGTCATTTCATTCTCATCCTTAAGAACACCTGTATAACACTGAATCCATATAATGAAAACGAAAAGGTATGAAGTAAACTAATTGTGTGCAGGATTTCTATAGCTTGTCCGACTCATTTTCCAGTCACTCCAATTTAGTAGTTGAATTTAAAAAGAATACATCACTTAAAGAAAAATATGCCCCTTTTAAACTGGCAACTCCATCAACCTGAAACAGGCTGAAGCACTTATCTAATGTATATTATGGTATTCTATAAAGAAACTCACTTTCATGACTCTACCTTTGAAGACCCTGCATACATTACAACAGTGCATTAGTGATACAAGTTGTAAAATACTTTTTCGGTTCCTTTGGATTTGCATATGATGGTTTTTGCATCAGTCACTGCAGGTAGATTGAGCAAGCTTTGTTTTTGTGTTTTAACATGCATTCAACTAGATATGGATCAGAATAAATTTATACTCCCTTTTTATCATTATAATTAGCTAAAAAATTGCAAGACAGTCCACAAAACAGGATTTGCTTTAAGACTAACTGCTGGAGTTCCAAGATGTAAGATATGCAGCACTGGAAAATCTTCAGTGATCAGGAATTAGTAGTGTTTAGCCAAGTGTTGAAAGCGTTCAGAAGAAAAGTCCTGGTTGGAGGCATGAGGGCTTCAGCACCAACTTTTAAACCTCAATTTCTTGATTGCATATCTCCCATCTTCAAACCTACATTAAGAGGGGGGGAAAAAAAGTAGGAAATAGTCTCAATTATCTGAAATACTACTTGGGTGTGACAGAACATTCTAACATTGCATGCGCATTGATACACACACACAACAGATGTTAAGTATTATATAATGCTAACCTAGCTCTTATCCAGTCAACTGAAATCTATACACTTCTAGGTTAAGAATTCAGTACACAGATCTTCTCCTGTCATGTCCATGCCAGCTTTCTGTCAAGACTAGTAGTTTCGTCTTAAGTAAAAGGTACAATATTAAAAAGGTATTTTATGCAAAATTTAATTATCAGCAGTCCTGAATTTAGTCACAGCAAAACTCTCTCTTTTTATACTCATGTAATATGACATTCTTGGATGAAATCTTGTATGCGAAACATTTCAGATCTGCAGACTGGTATGTAGCATCACAGCAAAATGACAAATGGCTGCTGCATTACTAACTCAAAGGGAATACAGTCACCTGTAATAACCGAACTCTGGACTCCTAACTACTGAAATAGAAATCCAAACAAAGTTAAAACAAGTTAACTGTGTGGTGGGTTGACCCTGGCTGGATGCCAAGTGCCCACCAAAGCTGCTCTATCACTCCCCTTCTCAACCGGACAGGGGAGAGAAAATATGACAAAAAAGCTTGTGGGTCAAGATAAGGACAGGGAGATCACTCAGCAATTACCATCACAGGCAAGACAGACTCGACTTGGGGAAAAGCAGTTTAATTTATTACCCATCAAAACTGAGTAGGAGAGAGGAATGAGAACATCTGTAGGGTAATGAGAAATAAAACCAAATCTTAAAACACCTTCCCCCCACCCCTCCCTTCTTCCCGGGCTTAATTTCACTCCAAATTTTCTCTACCTCCTCCCCCTGAGCGGTGCAGGGGGACGGGAATGGGGGTTGTGGTCAGTTCATCACACATTGTGTCTGCCACTCCTTCCTCCTCAGGGGAGGACTCCTCACACTCTTCCCCTGCTCCAGCGTGGGGTCCCTCCCATGGGAGGCAGTCCTCCATGAACTTCTCCAACATCAGTCCTTCCCACGGGCTACAGTTCTTCACAAATTGCTCCAGCATGGGTCCCTTCCACGGGGTGCAGTGCTTCAGGAACAAACTGCTCTAGCATGGGTTCCCCACAGGACCACAAGTCCTGCCAGCAAACCTGCTCCAGCGTGGGCTTCCAACAGGGTCACAGCCTCCTTTGGGCACATCCACCTGCTCCAGCATGGGGCCCTCCACGGGCTGCAGGTGGATATCTGCTCCACTGTTACCTCCATGGGCTGCAAGGGCACAGCTGCCTCACCATGGGCTTCACCACGGGCTGCAGGGAAATCTCTGCTCCAGTGCCTGGAGCACCTCCTCCCCCTCCTTTTTCACTGACCTTGGTGTCTGCAGAGTTGTTCCTCTCACATATTCTCACTCCTCTCTCCAGCTGCAGTTTGTGTCCCAGCGTGGTTTTTTTTTTTTTTTGGTTTGGTGTTGGGTTTTTTTTTCCCCCTTTCTTTTCTTTTTTTTTTCCTCTTGCTTCTTAAATATGTTATTGCAGAGGCACTACCACTGCTGCTGACTGGCTCAGCCTTGGCCAGTGGCGGGTCTGTCAGACAAAGGGGAAGCTTCTAGCAGCTTCTCACAGAAGCCACCCCTATAGACCCCCGCTACTGAAACCTTGCCACGCAAACCCAAGACACTTTGTCATAAACTAAATTGACTAAAAGTGAAAATTTCTAGTTCAGTTGGTCTGACAAGTCCTTATTTCAAATGAAGCTGTTCTCAATGTATGCTAAAAACAACAGAAGCAGAAGCGAGGATCCCCGAAACATTAGGCTTTGTGTCAGTTTGGCACACACTGCACTTGCAAAATCCATCCCACCTTATAGCAGATTTCAAAATTAAACTCCTTTTCTTGAAACCCATGATCTAAATTTTGGTCCACATTTGAAACAATCTTTCCATGCTGACTGCAAGAAGCATGAACTGAGACTTACCTGAAACAGAGTGAATATATGAAACTAACTCAAGGTTGTGTGTTTTTTTCAGCAGCTTGTGAGAAAGATACACCCTCAGAGCAAGAAAACACTTACCTTGCCTACATATTCAGCCAATCAAAAATAAATCCACAAAGTTACACACATTGCTTCATTCACAAATCGCAGTACTGATGAATTCAACAATTACCAATTAATCCAAAATACTGAATACATTTAGTCCCAGACGTATTTTAATAAGGCAAACTTGAGGCTCATTCTTTCATACTCAACAATCATGAACCATGAAAATGTTTCATGATTTCTGAAGATACAGACCACTGAAGAAGTCCCACTAGGCTTCTCTCCTTTGCAGGGAACAGCTATTACATAAGCAATAATTTTTGTGCATTCTTACTCAATTAGAATACTGTAGAAGTACCCCAGACCGCTTCCCTTCTGAAAAATCTCCCCAAAACAACCTGCAATGCCATCATTTATAAGACAGATAACTGCTTTCAAACTAAATCGGTAACTTACACTGACTGCCAGGATGATCACCACTGTGGGGGCACATAACTATAGGTTGGTGTTCCTGGAGCCCGATACGTGGGCATAGTAACTGGATGAGGGGCTACTGGAGTTGGGGAATGAGTCGTCAACAAAGTACCTAGGATGAAGAGAACATTTTTTTCAGTAAGCACAAGTTCTAGGACAAGAAGGAGAAAAAGAGAGTTAATTTTAAAAACAATTACAGCTTGCTCATCTTCCAATTGAAAATTACCAGTACAATTTTGCACTGCAGCCCCAATCTTCCTTCAAACATTTATGCAAGAAGATAATTTTGACATTTAGTCCAATGCACACAAAGATACTCATTACTCAAAAATAGCTCTAGCAGAAACCCTGCAACACAAGCATTATTCACCGCAAAATTTTTTTCCCACAGCAGGCTTTACATGCCATAAGATTATTTGATGGTAGAGATAACTTGACTGATAAATCAGAATAAATCAGTTCTTGTTTGCATTACTCCAGATAGGTTTTTACAGCCTAAGGGGCTTCAGAAACAAACAGGCTGAGATAGCAAGATCATAACAGTCTTACTCTCCAGCACTTTGTAGAAACAGTAACAAACACCTGGGATAAGCTCGCTTACCTACAAAACTCCAATGTTAGCTCAGTTTGTGACATATAGCTTCTCTAGTTTTGAGATTCCTCCAACTAAATGATAAATTTGACAAGATAAAAACCAGAATCTGAAAACAAGCTCATGGCTCTTGTTTTTCAGGTTACTGAACTGAGCATCCTTTGAGTGAATGTGGATTTTTCTTTGTGAATTAACACTGAGTAACAAAGCATGACACCCCCTCAGGAAACACTCACAGGTAAGTCTAGATACTGGTTAAACATTTTCTCCAAAACACTACCACTAAAAGAGCGTGGCATTAGGAAACAGACAACCCTAACCACTGCATATGACACAGAAGACCTGCAGGTAGTGCAAACACATAAAATGTTACATCTCAACATACAAAGGCAGCCAGCGATATGAGGGGTGGGCTGAGAACACTGCATTTTCCTCAGCCTTAAGAGGTTGCTGTTTTCAGCTAGGCATAGAGAAATGTATTGAGAAGAGGAAGTCAGACTCTTGACACTGGTAAGATGAGATGCAAAGGATGCAAGAATAAGTGAAATTCCATACAGATATAAAGAAGAACTATTTTACCATAATACTAATATCTTAAAAGAGGATGTGGTATCTCCATCCTTAGAGACGATCAAAGTATCACTGAGCACATATGCAACCTGATCTAGCTGGACTCACGTTGAAGATGCTGGACTAGATGACCTACAGAAGTCCCTTCTAACCTAAACAATTTTACGATTCTTGCCAAGTACACCTCCAGCATCACATTTTTGTAACGTAGCTGTGTTCTGTCTTCACCTGAAAGGAGAGCTTCACCAAGAAAACATCAAGGGTTACAAGTTCACATACCTGCTGACATTGCCATAGTAGTCCCAGCCACCATCCCCATAGTCACACCGTTTCCTCTTGGTGGTGGAATTGGAGCAGGATACATAGTTGCTGGCATGCCATTAGGCTGCACAACTGTGGTGTGGTGAATTACGTGGGGTGGTGCTGCATATAAAGGCTGCGTGTAGTAAGTGCCTTGCTGTTAGAGAAAAAAAAGTAAGTAAAGTAATTATAGTGTAACTGGTGGGCAAGAGAAATGTCTTTTCATGAATGTATCATAAAATAAAAGCATTATTCTAAAGATGCAATGTATTTACAGAGCAGAAGCCAAAACATTCATTTCAACTATTCCAATTGCATTTCATTGGCAAACTTAACATTTAGTCCCTTTTTTAAGGCATATTTAGGGCAACATTCAAAAGCAGGGACCTTTGTAGAACTCCAATGCTGACCACACCTTCAGCAACAAGGACTCATTTGTCATTCATTCCCTTCGTATCTTTTCATATATTAATCCATGACAGAACTTCTCTCAGTCTTTCACAACTTTCTATTCAGCTTTTAGTTAAAAGAACCAAAGGTTTTTGACAAATCCAAGTACACTAAGCAGACTGGATAAACTTTGTTACATGCTTATTAATTCCCTTCAACTACTGCGTACATGCCAGGCAAATTTCCTCTATGCATGAAGAGGGCCAACTTTTCCCCAAAATACCATGTTTAGTGAAGTGTCTTAATTCTATCCTTTCTAATTGTTTTCAACAGTTAGCCTAGTATGAGACTTGGTAACTCCCTGAATCACAACAGAGGCTTCTTAAAAAAAATTAATGCAAGTTTATGACAATTTTTGACAAAATTAAATCAGAATGTGCTAGTTATAGCATCCAGCATGCATTTTTGAAACTACTGGAATTCAGCGTCTCTTCAAAGACTGAACACATTATCAGTAAGTGCAGAGTAATTGTCATGTGAGAGAGAATGCAGAAGTCCACATATAAACACACACTCTGTAAATCACTGTATTAAGAATTCTTACTCTAAGCAGCCAAAAATTCTCTCCATCCATGAAGAAATAGATGTGATGTAAAGTTAAGAGTTCATGCAGATATTACAAGGTAAACAAAATAGTATCCAGACAAGTTTTTGGTTTTGTTCTTTTACCTGTGCATACGGATTCTGCTGTGGATAGGCACTTCGAACTGGGTACACAGCAGTCTGATAGGGATTCGGTGAGGAAGAATACGGTGGCACTGCACCACTAGTGGGTGAACAAGATACTTTATATGGGGTGCCTGGTGTATAACCTGAAACAAAGGTAAGTCTGCATTAAAAACATGAAAAACAAGTGTCAGTACACTGCTTTCTAAAGTCAGAGGTAACAATTGTCTTAATTTCCAAATTCCTTAATCTTCATGTGAGTACTTAGTAGGCTAACCACAAACCCCAAGCACAAGTTCTATCATTTACATAATACCGGTAACAGTCTGAAAATAATACTTGACTGTGTCAACTAAGCATGAAAAGTTAACGCTATTTTTGCACAATTTGCTTTTCAAGTCTATGGATATAGGATAAAAAAGTGGATTTGGATTTTTGTAACAATATCATTAAATACTTGGATTC